TACACCTGTTAAATCAATCCCTAGTCATGGTAGAATGGAATATTCTTAAGTAAGGGCCTCCACGTTTCCATTGTACTCTCTGTCGAAAAACACCACATTTAGAACAAGTGGTTTGAAAGCAAGAGATCCAATAAGAAGCTAATGCAATAAATCACCAGTGAGGAGTATGAGGATCTAAACCAACAGTTTGAAAACAACTTAATTTTATTCTTTTATTTTACATGTAGTGGGAAATCTACTTGATATCTACTTCATCCTTCCTTTTTAAAGACAATCTTTAAACTATCAATGGTACATGGTCTATCACAATCTCCTACTTCCCTGATTAACCTCTGCTAAGTTTACAAATATTCTTTAGAGGAAACATAACTCCGGTCACTTTTACCAAAGAATAAAGGAACTCTGCACACTAGGTGTTAGAGGTGTTCTTAGAGGTGTGGAAAATAACATATAAGACAGCCCTCTGCTGAAGCTGAAAAAGAGGGACATGGAAGTAAGCAGATAAATATTGGTTGTCTTCTGTTTGGAGGGCTTGACTAAATAGAAGGTAGAAAATTAGATTAATAACTTGTCCTAATTCTAAACTTCATATTACAATATGCATAAAATTTAATCATTTTGTTAAGGATAATGGAACCCAATATAAAATCATAAATGGCTTTTCCCATAAAGTATACAACTTAATTTCAAAGATATCATATCAACTTTACTGCCATTGCTGTATACTCTTGTTAATAGATATGTGTGTGTATATTTATATAAATATGTGTATATATTTTTGTATATATTTATATACATGTATAAATTGTAAAACTACACACACATACACACAATTTCAATTCTTCAAAGGTATTTTTCCTTGGTTGTAGCATATGATCATAAGACAGAAATAATGATTTCACGTTTTACAAAAGGTGAAATGAGTTACAGAGAGACTGGTCTTACAGTAGCACATTTTTAGAGTCGGGATTGCATTCTGAGAGTTCTGTCAGAATCACTAATAATTCTACTCACCGCACTATGACAAGTTAAGATTTAAAGTAATTTGTCATATAGTGGAATGTTTTGTGGTTTTATCTACTTTCAACTATTTATTCTCTAGACACTGAAATTCATTTTCACAGGTGAAAAATAAATCTTCCAATGAACCTCTTCAGTACTCTCAGTTTAAATTCTGAGTTTTATTTTGCAATTACCCAAAATTTGTTAGCATTTTGAAGCAAATGAGACTTGGAAATAATGGGAAATCTTAGTCATAAACTGCTTTGTTAAATGGTATTTCCTTTGTACAACTACTTGCACATAAATTTTTTTTCTTTTTTCTTTTATTTGTGAACATACTGTACAGAGGGATTACATGGGCAGGATAATGAGTACATTTCTTACCAAGCATTGCAGCCTCCTCCTTTTGTTTACCCTTCACATCCCTTCCCAGCCTCCCCCCTCCCCCC